CTGCATGAACAATTGGCACGAAATTCCTTGCAAGTGTTTACCGGATACCACTCTTCCCAGCAGAATGACGAAAAATAGACGAAAAATAGTGCAGCAATTGCTGGCCTACTACCCAAATAAATTTAATTATATTGACATAGTGGGTATCAAGCAAGTGCATTTGCAGTAGTTACCCCATTTGTGTTTAGAAAAGGCTCTTAAAAGCTACTCTTCCAGCTTTCGCTGGGACTGTGCTGCGCCTTCCAGGCAAGCCTGGCGTTTTTTTTTTTTTTGCTCGGTATACCATGGCGAAAAAAATTTAGAGGGAGAGGAGTTTCAGCCTGCTGTGGCAACCCCTGGCTATGCCACTGCCGAGGGAATTCAAGCAGGACACGTATGGAAGAAGGAACATTTTGGGATAAGCTGTTTGCCTACGCAATTTTTCGATGACTCTAGTGGAGCGTAAACACCCTTTCCTACACGCCCGGTTTTAAGGTTGGCACCGCTAGACCCTCTTTGAAGAAATCTCTCTACAAAACAGTGCATGCTTCATTACTCTCCAGGTATCAAGTTACTGAGAGCTGAAATACCCTTAATACCCTTACCTGCATGCTTCGCTCTTCCCTAGATTTTTTCCAGATTTTCTGTGAGAATCTATGCGGCCCACCAAAGCCATTTTAGGAAGCGACACTCATTATAAGCAACAGGACATAAACCGTTCAGTTTGCCGAAGTTCTGCACCGCTCCACTCAACCCCTTCACAAGAAGTAACTACTGGATGGGCCACTCCCTCCGGGATCGGCCAACCAAGCGACGTCGTCGGTTAGTCACGTCCCACGATTACCTTATTCCGCGACGTCACGTTACGTCACAACATTCAATGCTTTCTGAGGTCGTGATCACCTTATTAGTGACCTATAGGTCACGCTTGCTTCTCTGACACTTCATTTGGTCCGACGTATTTTGCTCATGGGGACACGCCACAGGACACATAAAAGCTTTTGCCTTAAGAAACCTACATGAGAGCTCCTGCTACGTGGTGTGGTCAGCTCCAATTTAGGTTCAAGCGCGCTTGAGCTCTTTCGCGTGTTAGAAAAGTAGACTCAACATTATGTTTCTAGCAACACATTAATATATATATATAATATATATATATATATATATATATATATATATATATATATATATATATATATATATATATATCTATATATATATATGTGCATTTGTGTTTGAATGTTTTCCTTACTTCTGCTTCATTATACTTGCTAAGAATAGCCTGCATTGCCCTCAGAGATGTAGCATAATCATGAGTGCCAGTTTTATCATGCTCAATTATCTCACAAATACGAAATACGGCAGATGCGCATTTATATGAAGGGCTAGTAGTCCATACTATGGGTGTTAACTTTGACTTGTGTTTCAACTTGAAAGGTAGCACACCCTTCTTTGCGACAACAGCAAATGTCTGTGAAAGGTGACAGCCGATGTTCTGACGCTCAAAATTATCATTTTATTTTTTTTCTGCTTTAATACTGACGCTATAGATAAAGTGTCCCAGAGACATCAACATAGGTTTATTGCCGCCCTCTACAGATGACCATTAGGCTGACTTTTCATAAACCGGAACTTCATATACGTGCCCTAAAGCGTTGACTTTTTTGGGGTACACTGCAAATGTTTGTCTAAATAACAAGCACACAAAGCTTACTCAGAAACGTGACGATTCATAATGTTAGCCGTACCACAAGATCAGGTCATCTAGAATTACTGTCGCTTGATCACAAAAAAGCGCCAAACTTACTAAATTCGACGCAATGTCCTTCAATAACATGCTCCCATGAAAAAGCATTGGTCGGTAAAAGAAACCGTCGGTGCTGGAAAAAAAGCTTATCAGCCGATACATTCAATGTAGGCTTTCAGACATGCGTAACAATCAAGAATGAATGCGAAGATCTGTGAGCTGGCTTAAGTACCAAAAAGGCCACCAAGATTTCCTCACGCGAAGTTTCTGTTACGCACGTGATTTCATTTTTTACTCATTTACACCTCGCAGATCACACAAGACCGGTCCCACATCAAAATGCTGCCCCTCTCTTGACAAGCTAAATTAGCCATTAATGATCATCATGTTAAAATGATATGTTCATAAGGTTCAGTCGCAAAATAATGTGCGCCATCATTCTGATGAGTGTCTTATAACGCCCGTCAAGTATAGGGCAGTCTTGAAAAGTTATTGACTGTGAAAACGTAGCGTGATCGAATTATAATTGCATGAGTGTGTTCTATATAAAAGAAAATTCCCGAAGTCACAAAATTCAAAATTTGCGGGTATAACATGCAGACAATTTAACAAAAAAAAAAGTTCGTTCGGGTCCATCGTTTCCCTGGATAACTAAGCAGTGCCCTTATGTTTACATGATATGTGTGTAACCTTTTTCTTCTGCAGTGACAGCAATTCAATCACGTTCAAGTTACTTATAACTTCTGCATTTTCGAACTTTTCACAAATTCATAACACACATTTCACATATAGTCTACTGAGTGCCTGTTTGAAGTCATTGCACTTGTCTATAATTAGCGAAACAGTGGCCTTCGATCTTCTTCGCCTAAAGACACACTGAACAAAAAACAATTTTTCGCGCATTCGTAAAGTGCAGTTTTACAGTTACGAGAGCACCCCTCTTACCAAGATAAGACGCTTGGTAAGCAAAAAAATACGGGTGAAGACGCCACTTTGAGGCTCATGCGACAGACGTCGTGACATCTTAAGGCAGATTTCGACGGCATCTACTAAGTTCTGCGTAGTTTATAATCAGTAGAAATGGAACACTTTGTAGCCTGTGGGTGCCATAAACTTAAAATATCGAATTTTCAACTAGCCCATATTGCGAAAATGCGAAAATACGTTTTGAAATTAGTGACGTCCCACGCAGAGGTTCCGGCATAAAATCTAAAAATAAAACTCTCACCTTGAATATCTCTGCTATAAATGAACTTATGATAGTGAAACGAGACGCTTAGGTTCTCAGAGTACAGTTAATCAATCTAAACCATGTCCTTGTTTCTTTTTAGTGTCCCTTTGAACACCAGCTAGCCATATAATAGAAACGTCGCACGAGATACAGTGTGCTCCAAGTACTACACAACATCATTTTAAAAAATAGGAATGTCGTTACAAGAAGCACACCTAGTGCATATTGTTCCCAGTGTATACTGTAGCAGCTACTACATTTTTGGTTGGTAAAGTTTAATTAATTGGTCGTAATTCTGTTTCTAACACAAGTACTCACAGAATCAATGAAACTTCAATGATTTATTTGCGAGAACGTTCAAATGGCAGCTAACTGTGCTATTTTCAATAACTTATAATTGTGTGCTTGCTTTCTCGTTTTTTTTTTTTGCTAATATAGAGAGCCCTTGAAAAATAAAAAAATCACTCATGGTTTGAATACAACGTGTGTCAGACAGCAGTGGCCTAAATATTTGCACTATGAGGCATCGAGTTAAGACTACGTTCTACCTCTTGCAGTTGGAAGCCTATTGTTTGCTATATTTCGCGTGATTTTTATATGCCGCAAGAACTATCATGAAAAAGTAAAGTCGAAAACATAACTAAAAATAATAACTAAGCTTATTTAACGAAATAACTATTAATGGGTACTTGGGAACAATATACATTAGGTGCGATTCGTGCAATGTCGTTCCTCTTTTTTAAATTCTGCTGTGTCATATTTGGGACACTTCATATACGTCATTTTTGTTTATTTCATAACAATGCTTTGCACGGGCACTTAAGAAATGTATTTAAGGTTAAATACTTCATCTTCTATATTTATGTTTTAAAAACATCACGCGTTCATCTCACAACATTACGAACCTTACACGCTGTCTCTAAGTATTCTTCGCTTCCTTGTTCATAGCTTGTGCAAAATGTTATACACGACTGATTGTGTTCCATATTACAACGCATTATATCACCTAGAATTTATATGAGTCAAGACTTTTATTGAGAGATTCTGTGGAGTTTAAGCCGCCAGGGAGTCTACGAGGAGCACCCTAGCTAAGGCACCTCAATGCCAGTGTTCCTTCGCAAGGACGAACAAAGGGACGCTGCCGCCAAGGCTCCTTAACACCAACAGCCACTACCATAGGCTACATTCGAGTTCGCGTAGGAACGAGGTAGTGTTTCACCAAAGGAAAGACTTTTAACTTTAAATCACTTAAAAAGCAACAGTACAAATGTGTAGATGACAACGTTGAGTCAATAAAAAACAAGTGACCTTATTTGAGGGACGATATTAGCACTCGCCATTCAGTTTAACCTTTGTATATTCGAATCATCCGATTCTCTTATAGTTACTTGTTCATCTGAAACAACAAGCTTCCTTTTTAACCTGTAACTAAGCAAAGTATGTGCCCGAGTGGTTCATGAAAATGAATGAATGAACTTTATATAATGTCCGGCAGCTTCCTTAGAAAATAATCTTCTTATGTTTCAGCAGAATTGACCTTCGCAGGTTCTGTGAATAGACGTCATTCTGTATTTTAGGCACAAGAAAAATAATTCCACGTTCCATTTCCCAAGTTTTTGTTTGTTACATTGTTTGTTGTATTGTTTCTGACATCATATTCTTGCTGATGACTTATTAAAGGCAACTCTTCAAGAAATAGCCGTAATTATTCTTGACTTCAAGCACCACTCTTCGGTTATTCATTCATAGAACATCCTGCATGCGTTTGAGAAAATGGCTACACTTCGGCGAATAATCTCTAAACAATAGTTTTCGAAGTGCATTTGGGCATTCAACACATGTAACTTTTTTGAACGTTTTAGCTGAATACCTTTCCGTGAGCACATATTTTTATTGTCAACATCATCAAATTCAGACTATGATTTAATCACATTGTTTAGGCAAAAACTTCTTGTAGATAATGGACCAAAGCTAACATAATTTTGTACAGCACTTGATTTTTTTTCGACCACCTTTTTTGCAGGGGCACCAGCAAAGGCGGTTGTATTCCCTCGAATCATTGAAGAACGAAGCGATACCGGTCAGCTAGTGGTCGCTATAGGTTCCGGCCGTGCATTGACTTTAACCAAGGCGTCTGTGCTACACGAAGAGTTAGAAGTGAGAACGTTTGAAAGCGGCTTGGAAGTTGTTCATTTTGTAAGTAATTTATCTTAAATAATACAGCGTTTTGTGTGAAACCAATGATGGCCTGAAATTCTCGTTCTAAATATCTAGTCAGCAACCATAACTTAACAGCTGACAACCAGTCCTGCTAACCTCAAGAACGTGGGGGTTATAACCGACCATGGCGGCCGAATTTCTGTGACAGCGAAATGTAAATCCCCTTTGTACTTACTTATTAGCACGCGTTCAAAACCCCCGTGGACTATAGTTGATTTTGACCCGGAGTATTCCGCTACGGCATCTACGGTAATGACGTCTTATTAGCAGAGATGAATCTTTGGTAGTGACATCGTGGTGCTGTCCTGTAAAGTCTGAATTCCATTAATAATAACATCCTGAGACGAGTGATTCTTGACTAAGAGCACTTAAAGCCTGAAAGAAAAACTCTTAGTTCTTGTGAATGACAGATAGTGCCTGAAATGTATAAGGCATTCCACCTCGCAGTCATTATGACACTACTCCGTTTAAAAATAGTAATTCATAGCTCTCTGTGGTAATTGCGCGGGACAATTACTGTTACACTGTAAGCTAAGAATGGCTAAAGTTGGCTCTATGGTATCTTTCTATGTTTAAATATTCACAAAAAATGAGTGCGCTGCCATACGACAGAAATTTCTTTAAAAGGGACAACTCATCTCATCTTTATATGCCAGCTAAATCCAGAATGCGATGTAAAGTTATATATTCCAATATATTCTGAAATTGGCAACATATCTTTTATGAGAATGATACTTTAAGATAGATCTTTAGTGCTCTTACTGTAAAACTGCGTTGTCATCCTTAGAGTATCGTCCTTCGTATTTTTCGGCGTGCCCATGTGAACGATTTGCAATCAATTTTTCTGCAGATGAATGGCTCAAGGCTTGAAGAAGAGCTCTATCATGATACTCAGGCGCAATCTGCCGTCCACATCACGCGTGGACCAAGACTTACACTCGTATGTATAACTGTTCATATAGCTTTGTCAAGTTAGCTTCAAGGAGTGTTTCCTAAAAGCACCTAAATAACCTGCTACTGAAGGTAATGAATACTTGAAGCGTGCTGGCTGCGACATATATCTTTTTCTTCTGTTTTAAAAGGAGGCTACGAAGTAAATGGACGAAAAAATAAAAAATAACGTCAGTAGCCAAGAGCATGTTGCAGAACATGACTGCTCTTCCATCTGCGTGGATGTTGCTCCTTAAAAAAACTATTCAATGAGTTATCTTTTGGTTTGTCTCAGCATGGTGTACGTTCTGCGATATTATCATCAGTTCAAAATGCTGTCATCACAACCTCCGGTCTGTTCTTGCTGAAAATACCCAGGAACTATGAGGAACTATTATCAATTTGTCACACCTACACCACGTTTGAAGCTGCTCTTAGAAGTACGTTTATTACGTCATAAATACGCGGCCAATAATACTGTGGTAACATTGTCAATGTTACTTCATATGGTATTTACATGGCCATGTTAAGGCGCCTTTTCTTGCATTGAGCGCAATGTATTTACTACTGTATTAGTATTTAATACTCTATTAGTATTGGCCTCTTCTATTTTGCATGGTCCTTATATGAGTAACGTTATGTCTGAGACAATGATTCAAATAATGTTAACTTTTCTCATGCGAAGGTTGGAATACTCAGCCCTACAGAGCGTATACAGCCTTCAGATGTGCACGCATATGATGAAAGAGGTGCTGTTAGCCATTATATTATGCCTATCGGGAACAGTCAAGTTGATGCTCAATTTGAAGGTTGGTGTTGATTTTTTTCTTTTTTGTCATCATACTTTTTCATTTTTCTGTATTGTGATGGGGAAGCAGCAGCCCAAGAAATGTCTATCCATCACAGCTTCCAGGAGCTATTGAGCTAAGAATTAATTAGTCTTAAAATAAGCCCGATAGGACAGCCTGACTTTCGCGAAAAAGTCCAAAAGACGTCAAACTTCAATAAACTTTCTTCGGTATGAAAATACTTTAAATGCTATAAAAATTTTACTCAAGTCCGAAGGTCAGATAAAAACAGTTGTACTATTTTAAACAGTTAAAATATGCGCAACTATCAATGCAAGCACATTTTTGTTTTTGTTTTTCCAAGCCATCTTTACGACAGTCTCCGTTAGGCTAAAAGCACGTTTGCCAGTGCATAGCTTACGTTACTTGTCCATTTTCCCAGCGTCTGTTTGACTTCAACGCTCATCCACTCAAGTAATTGAGAAACGCACTATTTAATGGTGATAAACGTTCGGTTGGTGAACTTTCTCATCACTAATATATTTGCTGCAAAAATGCGAATAAGTAAACAAGATTACAAGAGACTCGGCGAAAAAAAAAAGCTTAAGCACGCATGTCTTCATTGGATCTTGCAAGTCCGCTATGCATAATCAACCAAAAACTTTTTCGTACGTCAAGAATTTTCCCTCATGAGGCTGAGTTTTGGTAATTAAATAAGACTGAACGGTTGAAGTGGTGAACAATATGTCATTCTTTTTATTTTCCGTTATCCCCCAAATTACAGTCATATTGGTTGTTACAGTTGCGAGCAAGTCTCTTTCTGATCACTTATCAATCTGACCACGAGCAGCGAACAAGCCGCGAGAACAAGGTCTACCACCAGAGTTCGCGCTTCTACCTGAGAAGACCCGGCCAACCAAAATCCTGCACCTCGGCTGCAGCAACAATGAGAGACCCTGTACTGCCTGCTTGATCCTTCTTCGGTTGCCCAGAGAGTCGCCAGCTTTCCACGGGTTAACATTTGAAGGTTCGGAAAGCTGCTCGAAGCGTACGACCGCGTGGTCGTTTTCAACGCCTGAAACAGAGAAGACAGGCTACGGCATGTCTACTTTGCCCTGCAATACGTAGCCACGACATGATTTGAAAACGAAGAGCTAGCGCTGACCACGTGGAAAGTTTTTCGTACCACATTCCTCGCGACAGTAACTAGCATCTTCCACAAGAAGAGCGCTGAAGCTATGCTCGAAACCCCCGTACAGCCGCCAAACGAAAACGTGCCGCTGTTCTTGGATGAAACTATAAGGCTGTTCGTTTACTGATACAAAGAGAGAAGCAGAAACAATTTGCGAAACTGGTGCGGAATCCACCAAGCAGATTCGAGGGATTCCTGTCGGAAGCGACAGCGATAGATAAGACGATTGAAATGCGTAACTTACTGTAGAATCATTGCCTGACTCCAGACATCGCCTCTGTGCATGTCCTCAACTCCGACAGCCTGCACAAAACAATCTGAGTGATCGTTATGAACAAACTGTTCAAGCTATTGCCCTCACCACAGTCTCAGTTGGATTCCATCGCAGATAACGTTCGAGAAAAAAATCCTGAAATCACATGGCTCCCGTTGCCTAGCCCGTACTCGGAAAACTAAAGACGAAAATCGATGGAGATGTGAATGCTCTACGATGAACTACCAGTTCAGTTCAGTTCAGTTTTATTTCCTTAAAGGCCCCCATTCAGGGGGTGTTACATAAGGGGTGGGATTACAATTCAAAACAGCGGAGATTCAATTAACATTGCAAACAAACAGTTAAAATTGAATTAACATGGCAGATGATCGGTGAGGCGTTCCAGGAAGGTAGATGATGAGGCAATTGTGACAATGTCGTAGGGCAGGCCGTTCCAGTCTGAAGCTGCTCTGAGGAAAAACGAAGCAGCAAACGTAGTGGTGCGTGATGGCGGGCGGGCAACTTGAAGTGAATGACTGGTGCGGTGGGAAATGCGTGAGGCGGCTGTTATATAAGGAGCTTGATTGAGTGAAGAATAAAAAAACTTATGATAAAGAGTTAGGCTAGCAATGCGGCGACGATAAGAAAGGAGTGATAGGCCAGATTCATGTTTCAATGGTGAAATGCTTATGTCATATGAATATGAGGAATGGATGAAACGGGTGGCCCGATTTTGAACACCTTCCAAGGCAGTGATTAGGTATGCTTGATGGGGGCTCCAGATGGCAGATGCGTATTCTAATTTTGGTCTTATAAGCGATTTATACGCGAGTAATCTAACATGTGGTGGGGAAAGGCGAAGGTGGCGTTTAAGAAAACCCAGTGTTTTGTTCGATGCTGAAATGATGTTTGTAATATGGGCGCGCCATGATAAATTAGAACAAAGGGTGACTCCTAGATATTTATACGATTCTACTAATTCGATACATGATTTAGAAATAGAATACTGAAAGCGAGAGGGATTGTGACGACGAGAGAAGGACAAGAGTTTGCATTTAGTGGGGTTGAGAGTCATTAGCCAAATATTACACCAGTTTATTATATTGTTAAGGTTGCTCTGAAGGATGTGATGGTCATGACAATTAGTAATAGTATGATAGATTACGCAATCGTCAGCGAACATGCGAATGTTACAGGAAACATGCAATGGTAAGTCATTAATATATATTAGGAATAGGAGGGGACCGAGAACAGACCCTTGTGGGACGCCTGAGGTGACTGGGAGTGGTTTAGACAGGTGGCCGTTAAGATAGACAGATTGCGAGCGGTTAGTTAGAAACTCCTCAAGCCACCTGAAGATGTTAGGATGCAAGTTTAGTTTTGAAAGTTTCAGTAACAGACGCTGGTGAGGAACCTTGTCGAAAGCTTTTGCAAAATCAAGGAATATTGAGTCGGTTTGGATATTACAGTCGAGATTAGTCTGTAGGTCATGAACGAATTGTGCTAATTGGGTTTCGCAAGAAAGGCCCTTTCGAAATCCGTGCTGTGAAGGATGAAAAAATTCGTTGGAGTCCAAAAAATTGAAGATTTGTGAGTAGATGACGTGTTCCATGATCTTACAAGGCACGCTGGTTAATGAAATGGGGCGGTAGTTCAAGGGTGAGTTTCTGTTACCTGATTTGTAGACTGGAACGACCTTGCCCGTTTTCCAATCATCCGGCATGATTCCTGAGGTGAGTGACTGTGAGAAGATAAGACATAAGTATGCTGCGCAAGTCGATTTCACATTCTTGAGGAGTTTCGAGTTGATGGAATCCATACCAGCTGATGAAGAAAGTTTTAATTTGTGGATTATAGATGAAATGCCTTCTTCGAAGAAGGTGACAGCAGGCATGAAAGTTTCTACGCTAAATGATGGCGACTGTGAGGGCATGTCAAGTTCAGTAGTGAAGACAGATGCAAATGCTTCGTTGAATATTTCTGCGCAATCATGGTCAGTCACTGTCTCGTGTGAATCATTCGTTAGTTTAATATCGGAAGGATGTGTGGGGTTTAGAACTTGCCAGTATTGCTTGGGGTTCCTGATTAAGAGATTAGGTAAGTCTATATGGTAAAACGAGTATTTGGCTTTACGAACAGATAGCAAATATGATTTTTCAGCTTCGATGTATTTTTGCCATGCAGTAGGCTTGCCGTTGCGTTTGGCGGTACGAAAAAGTCGTTTCTTTTTGTTTTCAAGTTTTTTTAAATGCCGGGAAAACCATGGTTTATTGCGGTTAGTTTGAAAAGTAATCTTCGGGATAAACATATCAGAGAGGTGATTTACTTTGTCCTTAAAGATCAACCAGTTGTCATGAACTGAGCGCGTGTGAAATGTAGATTCATACTGATTAAAAGAGTTACTGAGATCTTCAGATATTGCACTATAGTTACCCTTATCATAAAGAACAATTGTTTTATTAGTCGTCTGTTTTTTGGTCGAGGTAAATGAAAATAAAGCATGTATGACCTTGTGGTCGCTGATCTCAGGAAGGTAAGTAATAGATAATAAATTCTCGGGGCTATTGGTTAATATCAGGTCGAGAATATTTGCTGATCCTCGTGTGACACGGGTTGGTTGGGCGACTAATTGTGTAAGGTTAAAGTTGAGACATACATCGAGGAAGTTTTTCGCCTCTGCGTGACATGATAATGTAGAAGTAACTATGTTTTGCCAGTCAATATTAGGGTAGTTAAAATCACCGAACAGAAGAATGCGAGCCTTTGGGTAAGCGGAAGTAAGTTTTTGAATGGAATTGTTCAGATGACATGGAAAATTTGGATCCGTTTGCGGGGGCCTGTAGCAGACGCCAAGTAGGACAGTTACGGTGTTAGTACGACAAATTAGCCACAGGGATTCGGTATCGGAATCGACGTTAACAACGGAGCAAGATATGCCCCGACGAACTGCGATAAGTACTCCGCCCCCCCGTGAGCCATTTCGGTCATTTCGGTACACGTGGAAGTCCTGTAAGTCAGTTAATATTTCCGCATTCGTTATATCGCTGGTAAGCCACGTTTCTGTTAATACGAGTATGTTGCTTTTTGATGACGAGATAATGTTGGATATGAGTTCACGTTTTGGAAGAAGGCTACGTATGTTAGTGAATATTACGGAAAACGAGAGAACATGACATGGGGAAGCCGTTTGGCGTTTTATTGCTCTTTGTTGGCGGGGTAACCGCTATGCAATTTCCTTAACCATGTGTGATGATGCGTCAAATATATAGCGCTTCGACCCGACGTGCAGTGTTTTGAACCGCAAGGAGAACTTGTCCGAACGTGCTTTTGCAAATGCAAGTAATTGCTTGCGCGCATATTGAACGGGGCAGGAAAAGTCCTCCCCGATGCTGTAGTTAGTGTTCTTCAGTTTCCTGCCGTTTGATAAAAGTGCATCTCTGGTTTTGTATGATAAAAATTTCACAATTATGGGACGATTTCTGTTTAGTGAAT